TTTCAAGCAGTAGCCTGAGAGGTTGGAAGGAGCACTGCTTGGTGGTCTCAGCCCCAACCCCTGCTGCCTTCCATTTCCACTCTGGATGCTTTGGTCCATGCCCCAACCATCTACTCTAAAGATGAACGTGACTTTGCCCTGGAAACCTTTGACCTTCACCCTTCTCTTGTAACTCTCCCCACCTACCCATGGAGACCACTTTTATATTACCTGGGGCTGCTTCCAACTCCCACTCCCTTATAAGATTCTTGGCCCTGACCACCACACCTATCAATTCCATGGATCTGGGGAAGCAATCTTGAGTGTGAAGGAAATCAGGCAGGCTGGTCAAGAGCAGTGTTGTGTGGTAATGGAAGACCCTTCTTGAGATCAGTTTGAGAATGGGGCCTCAATATTTTACTTTATACAGGGTGTTGTGGTGTGGTGGTTAGACCTGGATTCAAGTTCTGTCTCAGTCGCTCCCTGGTGGTCTAGTGATTAGGATTCGGCGCTCTCTCAAGTTGTCTCGATTAGTCTATGTAATCTTGGTTAAAGACCATCTATTCTACTGACTTCTAGAGGATCACAGGTGGCAAGAAAACCTCTTCCTGGGGGGCTCAGGAAAGCACCCCAGGGGAAGAAATTCTTGAATGGGGTCTGAAAGTTAGAATAGGACCTTAGCATGCAGTGCAAGCTTTATGTGGGCCTCCCAGTCAATACCACTCATCAGCTGTGTGGCCTCAGGCAAGTGACTGAACCTCTCTGAATCTGCTTCCTCCTCATCTGTGAAATGAGGTTGATCCTACCAACCTACTTCGGTGGTTTTCAAGATTGTAAATGATAATGCAGAGTATTTACAAGCCGCAGCTTTGGTAATGATTTCATAAAGCACTTGACCTCTGATACTCCGGGAAGGGTTCCTCGAAGACGGCAGGTATTCCAACGATTGATTTCAATTAGAGCACCACTTAGAACTTCATCTGTTCTCTTGCTTTATGGATGATGGATTTTTTTTGTTGTTGTTCAGGGTCTGAAGCCACTCCCTCCCCCTCACTATGCCCAATGGGAAGGCAGCCAGTCCATTACTGGAATCCCTTCAGGTTCAGGAAAGAAAGAGACCAGACCTGAGGGAGAAGGTGGGAGAGAAGGGAACAGGGAGGGTTCCAAACCTCGCATCAGTTAAATGTTAGTATAGGTGTCGGCATAGGAAGTGTCTCCTAATGACAGAAGGAAGCGAGGGAGTTTTTCAATCATCTCCTGCTTAACAGATACAGATGTATTCATAATTATCCCTTGCCTTGGGCCTGGAGGCCCAGGTGGGCTCCAGAAGGCCTGTGTTCCTGCCAGACGAGAGTCCTTAAAGAACATCATGTAGACAATTGGAATGCCATTTATCGTGCAAAACACAATAAAACCCTGAGCTCTCTTCCTGTCTCAGAGACCCATAAATTATGAAAATTATACCTGCCCTAGGCCATGGACATATTGTTTTATTAAAGTTCCGATGAATAAACTTAAGGCTCTTAAAAATGTCCTCTCGGCTTTCATCTGGCACACACCTCCAGCACAGAGCTGTCTGCCGGGCTTCATTTGATTAGTTCACAAATGTTCTTTGGAAAGTTGAGCTCATTTCAAGTCGCAGGTTCAGCAGGCTGAAGGGGCCGGCTGGGGAGCGGCAGGAGTGCTTGGGGCCTCCTGGCCAGATGACAGAGTTGCTAGGAGGTTCTCATTGCTTGCCATTAAGCTGGGACCCCCCACCCCCACCCCCCCACCTCTCCAACTATCCTTTCTTTGTGGGATAAGCGCCAGGTTTGTAGTGCCCTTTATAGGTTGTGGATGTGGAGAGCTTTGATTTCTGCTTCCTCGTTATTTTAAATCCAATCACTGGGGAGTCATGTTAGTCCATCCTATGCTTCTTCCCCAAATTGCAATGCTAAAACCTTCAGCACCGTTTTTCCGGCCCAGCCCTCCACCATGTATTAGGCATGGGACAACTTCTCTGGACTTGTTTCTGCACCTCTAAGAGGGCATAATGGTATCTGACACGTGTGTTCAGAACCTGGCAAAAGGAAGCTGCTCCACAAAGGCTAACCTCTGTCATCACCCAAAAGCTATTTCATAACCGGAGCGGAGAGGCACTGGCCAGTCCAGGAGCGACAGGAAGGCAATATGTGGAATGTTCTCGGGATACTGATTTTTTTTTCTTCTCTAAATAAGCACACATTCACTCAGCTCCCATTTCCCCAGAGCGTTTGGACGGGTGAGATCCTTAAGCACCCATCACCCTGCATAGGTTTCTGTTATTTTTAACCTCCAAACACTAGAAACAAAGTAAAACCAGAGGCACCTACTCATCAGGACACCCAAGGCTGAATGAAAGCCTGGTCTTCAGTGGTTTCCCACTCTATCCTAGTGTAGGAATCCCTTCGTTAGCCAAAATGGCATAAAGACATGAAGCAATTACCATTAATTTATATAGAAAAAAATTTGAGCATTCTCAGCCCCAAAATATAACCTACCAAATCAGGCCAAATATGCGTACTTATGTCTAGTTTTACTGCAAGTGTAACACTCTTGGGTGCTCTCGTAGACTTTTCTAATACCTCGGGACACATCTTACTGATGATGCACACAACAAACCAAGGTAAAGTACAGATACTCAAAGCTTTGGCAACTTGCCCTGGCCAGTCTGCTCAGTGGTTAGAATGTTGGCCGTTGGACCAAAGGGTCTTTCTTGCAGGTTTGATTCCCAGTCGAGGGCATGTATCTCAGTTGCAGGCTTGATCCCGCATCCTGTCTGGACTTGTGTGAGAGGTAACCAATAGATGTTTTTCTCTCTCCCTTACCTTCCCCCTTCCACTCTCTAAAAACAAACAAACAAAAAAAAATCAATGGAAAAATTAGCCTCACTCCTTTTCTCTTGATACTGGCTTGGGTGAGGATTTTTTAAAAGCTAAGGCAACATAATGCTGAGATACTGACTGTAGTTCCTGGGGAAGCTTGATGGCCCCACTCTAGCTCCATCCTTCTCCCGCTGCTCAGGGCACAGGCCGCTTCTATCAGATCACTACAAAACAAATGCCGAGCACTCTTCTATTCACTTTTTACCTTTTTTTCCATAAAAGCAAAAATCCTCTTCCAATTTCTTTCAGTTAGCCACAGCAGGTATTGTTTACAGAGAGCTGTAAGGCAAACTTTCTAAAAAGGGTTACCTGTGATTGGAGCTGAGCCAATTAAAAAAAGCATCTCTAGGTGCCAGTTACTTACCTGGTCAGCAAAGCGAGGTATCCACACACTCACTAATGACCCTTCCTCCTTTCTATGGGAATGGGACAAGCCACGTGGTCTGGCCCGGAGGGAGGCCGGCCCCCAATCTTTATTCTGAGGCCACATCGAGGAAGAACATCCTTTGTGCCTTCCTGGGCAGTGGCCAGGGGATCCTTGGAATTGGGCGCGGATGTCTCGGAGAGGAACCCAAGGCTTTCACAAAGAACTGGAAGACACCCTAACTGGTGACCTCAGAGAGGCAAAGAACTGGACTCAGGGCTCCTGACCTCCTCTCTCCCTCCACTCCCCATTGTTAGTTGTCTGACCCCACTTATTGGTTTAAAAAAAAAAAAAAAAAAGTATTTACTGCTCAGTTCCTTTTCATTCAGAAAACAAGAGGCGTGCGTTCACTTGTTCAAAATAAAAGCCAAACTTTCATTGTGATTGGCATATGAATGAAAGTGATGAAAAAAGTTCCCCCAGCCACATACTCTCAGAAGGGACGGGGCCTCTGCCAGGTTTGAGTATATCTGGGGGTGCAGGGTAGCGGGGAAGCCGATGGAGAGTGCATTAGGAGGGCACAAAGGCAAGATATTCAATGGATGGATGGAGTTAGAGGTCAGAATGACATATTTTGTTCAATATCAAGAAAACTGCCAAGGGCCTTTCTGTTTGTCTTATTACAGCATGTGTGCGCATGAACATCTATTTGGGGGGCACCAGGGCATACAAGCCGCAGTATTTTTGTAAACTGGGTAGGGCAGGCCATCCTTCCCCACCTCCACCACTTCCTACCGTGTTTCCCCAAAAATAAGACATCCTCCGAAAACAAGACCTACTTACAGGTTTCCTTCTGAGTGAAATATAAGGCATCCCCCCCAAAATAAGGCCCCCCTAGGCTGAACATGAGAGATTTGGTCTACTGATTCTGGAAGAAATGGAGTCATAAGAAATTCACCAGGAAATTCAGGAATTGGATTGTTATGATGATGTTCCAGAAGATGACATGATTGTCATTGAATAAATGAGTAAATTCTTGATACTGTAGGATTCAGTTTGTCTGGTTTGTGTTGACAACTACCGTACTACCGTACTGTAAACAGGCAATAAATTTCCTTTATTTTCATTTAACAACAAATGTGTACCGTATTCTTCTTCATGGAAAAATAAGACATCCCCTGAAAATAAGACCTAAAATAAGATCTTTGGGATCAAAAAATATAAGACACTGTCTTGCTGAGACCGGTTTGGCTCAACGGGTAGAGTGTCGGCTTGGGGGCTGAAAGGTCCTGGGTTCGATTCCAGTCGGGGGCATGTGCCTTGGTTGCGGGCATATCCTCAGTGGGGGGTGTGCAGGAGGCAGCTGATCGATGACTCATCGATGTTTCTAACTCTCCCTTCCTCTCTGTACAAAATCAATAAAATACAATATATATTTAAAAAAAAAACTGTCTTATTTTTGGGGAAACGGTACTTTGAATTTTGCTGTCCATCTGTTACAAATACTCGTCCGTGGGGGAGGGCTCCCCAGAGGAGGAATTAGCAGCACCTGGCAGGGTTCAGCCTCCTCAGCAAGAGAAGCTTCCTCCAAGGGTGTGAGGGATTGCCCAGCCAGGACCCCTTTATTCTGCCAGAGCTGGGGGGGGGGGGGGGCGGCAGTCCCATTGGGCGAGTGCTTTGATAAACACGGGGCCTCACTGGGTGAGGTGCAGGGGCGTGAACATACAAACACACGAGAAAACAACAGTCCTGTGTATATTTAACAATATATATTTATATATATTTTCTAAATCAGTACATTCAGTTTTAACTTGTTTTTTTCTTCACAAACAGAAGAACTCTTACAATAGTAGACTTTCTAAAATAAATACTATTAAAATAGAGCTTCAAAATAAATATTCTATACAAAGGGGACCTTCTGTGGTAACGTTGTGGGGTGAGAAGGGGCTACAGTGAGGGGGGGAGGGATATGTCGGAAGTGCGGTGGGATGGGAACCTCGGACAGCTTTCCCGTTTGTAACAGGAAACCGAACTGCGGCAGTGAGAAGCGAAAGCGAGATCAGACACCACACGGGAGTTACCCACAGCGAGAATGGCAGCGCAGGAATGGTCACCAACTGTCACAGTAAGCAGGGCATGAAAACGCTCACCGAAGGCATGAGCCGGAAGGCTGGGGATGCGGGCAGGACGCCCTGGGGGACTGAATTGTACAGTGCGAAGGGGTGCTGCCCACACCCACTGGGTATCTCCTGGGGCAGCATGGGGGGAACATGAAGCTTCAAGGTGACAAGGTTCTGGGTGCTGGTCCCAACCAACACTCGCCATGCTGTGCAGCCTTGGACAAGTCATTGTCTGTCTAGGTCTCACGCCATGCACAGCGCGGGCCCACACAGACTTCAGGACGCCGAAAGGACAGGTGAGCGGTCATCTGTCAGGAGGAACGGGTCTCTGCCTCCTTCCAGCTGTCGAAGCCGTGGCTGTGCAGTCATGGACGTGAGAGGGCTTCGCTGTCCCAAACCATTGGCAGGGCGCTTGCTGGAGCGTTGGGCTTCCACAAGCCGCCCTTGGGGTGCGGGGAGCACCAAGGCCCCTAGGACAAGTGTCCTGGACCCAGGCTCGTGCCATCCCACTCCAGGCAGAACCACCACCCACTCCAGGTTGAAGAGACGTGGAAATTAGCTGGCATTTCTCAAAAGAGGTCAAGACGAGGACTGATCCAGCCAAGGAAGCCGTGGGTGACAGGAAACATGACCAGCCAGAGTGGCCCAGAAATGTCCTATTACTGAGAGCTGGGTCCTTGGTGGCCCCCGACTGGTCCACAGCAAGCCAGTTTTCTTGTGTCTGTTTTTCCAAGAAGCCGAGAAAAAACATGCTGAGGGACTGCGGTGCAACAGAGCTGGGCAGGGGGCCGGGCTGTCCACTCCTTCCCTCCACCCACGAGCACACAGGACACCGAGAGCTCTGCAGACATCCACCTAGCAGGCTAAATGCAAACTAAAAGGGACAAGCCGAAACCGGAAGGAGAAAAAGGGAAAAAGAAATCCAAAATCCCGAAAAATCCGTGTTTACAACTATGTACACAAAAAGTCAGGGTTCAAGGAGGCCGTTTGCCAGAAACAGGGTCTGTATAGACAGAGGGTGGGTGGGGTAGGTGTGTGTGTGTGTGTATACACAGCTTATACAAATCAATTCTCCACAGAATGGGTGTGTAGAACACCATCACCAAAGTGCAACTTGCCACCAGGTCAAGTTCCCCATGGAGACATCGGAGGGAAGGGCTCTGGGAAAGCTCCGAGGCCCCCCCAAAAGTGGAGGTGTGCCCCCTGGGTTTAGGGGTAACCTCTTCTGAGGAAAACCTCTCCAGTCCCTTCAGTACACGACTGATACATTCAATTAGCGTAAGTGGTTGGCTGAATGTGTTTTTTCCTTCCTACCGTTCCCTCCATTTGTGCAAGAACAATCACACATCCATCAACGACTGTGGCAAAGGGTAGCTACGTGAACCAGCCATAGAAAACTTCAGATGCAGTATTTCCTGTTTGCCTTTTACAAGCTAGCAAATATTATATAAATAAAGCCTTTTAAAAAATAATAAGACCCTCCCCTCCTTTCCTCCCATCAATAAATACCTATGGTTACAATTAACTTATTCTAAATCATAAGATGTTACTACTAGTCTTCAGTCCAGGGCAGGGGGGGGGGGGGGGGGGGAGGGAGTGGGGGTTGTTCTTGAGAAGCGCTGGGTGCACCCAGTCACAGCTACCTGCCTCCTCGCATCCTTCCTGGAGGCATAGGTGTTCCTCCAGGACAAAGTGGAAATGCTACTGCTCTTCCAATTTCGCCTGGGGTGGCTTTTCTGACCCAGGCCACTTCCTCTTATGGGGTAGAGAGGAGGAGGGGGGAGGGGGACACAAAATACCACATGAAGCAAGAACCCTGCACAACACGAGGGAGAAGGACCAGACACGACGGCGTCTGCATGCAACAAGTACCTACCCACTGGACGTGCTGCACTCTCCGAGTTCTTTAGCACCTTGAGAGAAAGAGTTGCTACGTCTTTGGGGGGCTGCTGGGAGCGGGGGCGGGGCCATGCACGGAAGCAGGGCTCAACCCCGAGAAGCCCCTGGAGAAACTCTCCCCCACCTGCCTTCCTCCGACTCCCCCACCAGGGCTTCCTGACACGAAAATAGACTCTTCCCATCAGCCGTCTATTTACATGAGAGATACTGACACATCACTGTACATAAAAGGCTATGACAGCAAGCAGCAGAATCGGAAGAGAAGAAACCGGCACCCATCTTGGCTCCACTGTCCTCCCCCCGTCAACGCGAGGTGCTGCCTCCTCTTCTTTGCTGTTAAAATCCTCTTCTTGGTGGGGCGGGGGTTTGTGTTTTTTAAGGTGGCTCGCTCCCCTCACCCCCCATTTTGAAATCAGCCCTTCCTGGGGGTGGCCCAAAAGGAAGCAAGTGTTTATTGTTTCCTAAAACACCGTTAGCATCTGGTTTAATTATTCTATAAAAGCACAACGACTGGGCCCGGAGGCCACAGCCTCAGACTCATTGGCAAAGTGATATTTGGTCTTGCGTTTGCCGCCCTGGGCTTCTCGACCCATCAAGTTTCTGGGAAGGATCTGGGTGGAGAGAGCTCAGGACAAGAAGCAGGCAAGCGAGCCTGTGACTCAGCAAGAACCGGAGGACGGTGTTAAGAGCGCAACAACCCCATGGGCGATGGAGCTGGGAGGGAGAGGTGCTCTGCGTAGCCGCTCCTGAGTCCATCCGTGGCTCCGGAGAAAGCGAGAGGAGCGAGGCCTGGACTCGCTGGCCGTCTTCTCTTCTCGAGGGCTCCCGCGTGTATATACAACAGGACTGCCAGCCGGGGCCTACACCTTCCCCAGGATGCCAGGTGAGCCGTGGGGCCGGGAAGGAGAAAAGACACAGCCATCAAGACTCCATGGTTGTCTTCAGAGGTCCCCTGGCCACTGTTCCCGGTCCCTCCCAGGCAGCTAAAAAGAAAGAGGGGGGTAAGGGAGGAAGGGAGGAGGGAGAACTGGGAAGGCAGTCAAGCAGCTGCAACTTCCGGCTATGTGGCCACATCTGTCTTCTGGAAAAGAAAAATCCTCCCCTCCTTCCCCCCCCTTGCAAAGCACACCATGCCCCTGCCACTGTCGGTTTCACACAAAGTTCCAGGACCTGCAAAACCACCCCAAAGTGCCACTTCTTCCTCTTGGGGAAGGAAGACAGTGGGGGGTGGGGTCTCTGTTTTCTTCCGAAGCTGGGGTGGCAGCCTGGCAAGGTCACCTCTGCGGCCAGAACAGAACCTCTGGCCTCGCTGCTGCAGTCTTCTCAGGTGTCAGGAGGGAACCCGGTTCCCAGGGGAGCGCAGGGGGCGGCTTGGGCCCTGACGTCAGAAAGGCTTGTCGGGCCTGCCGGCCTGGGCGTCACCCGGGGCGGCCGCCTTACAGATGACGCTGTTCGTGTGCTTGCAGCGGCAGCCGGGCCGGCGCAGGCGGTCGTAGCCGCGTTGGGCCAGCTTCACGCAGCCCGTGGCGGGCAGGTAGCAGAGCAGGCAGGGCAGCACCAGGGACAGGGCGCCCATGAAGGACCAGCGGGCGCAGCAGTTGGAGCGGGAGCAGGAGCAGGGGTGGTCGGCGCAGGAGCCCTCGTCGTCCTCGTTGGTGCAGTGGTAAAAGACGCCCTGCACCAGGCACATGCAGGTGCCGTAGTTGACCAGGGTCTGCGCGGAGCACAGGCACTCCTGGTTGCAGACCCAGCAGGAGGGCAGCGTCCGGGGCGCGGCGCACTCCTTGCACTTGCACTTGCCGCAGGCCTCGCACAGCAGGAAGTGCTTGTCCAGCTCCGGGGGCGCCGCCGGGCCCTTGAGGTCCAGCGGCTTGCAGTGGATGGCCTTGGGCTGGATGCGCACGGCCCTCGGGGAGGCCTGGTCGGCCACGGGGGGCGGCGCCATGTGGTCGAGGAGCCGCTGGTCGGAGGACGTGCTGCTGCTGCTGCTCACGGAGCTGGGGCGGCCGCTGAAGGAGATCCAGTGGTGTGTGACGTCCTGGTCACAGCGCGCAGGCGTGGAGGCCGGCTCCGGGGCCCCCGCCCGGGTCCGCTTGGGGCCGGCGGGGGGCGCCAGGCTGGGATTGTCGATGTAGTCGTTCTCCACATGGCTGGTCTTCATCTGGTCGATGGGGAGGATGGTGAGCGGGTGCTGGAGCCGGCTGTGGGGCACGCGGCTGTCGAGAAGGGGCTGGACCATGACTGAGCTGGGAGTCAAGGGGGCGGCCTGTGGGATCGGGGGCTCCATGGGGCTGGAGGTCCTGGGCAGCACTGAGAAGCAGGCTTCTAGGTGCCCTGGGGGTGGGGGAGGAAGAGAGAATGAATTCCAGGCGTCAGTGTTTGGCCTGTTAGTACCCTCATCCCCCATTAGGTGCTTGGGAGCCAAAACGAAATGGCAACTGGTTTCCTTGGGTGGGTTCTCCAGAATTAAGGCTAATTAATAATGACAACATGCCCTAACCAATTTGGCTCAGTGGATAGAGCATTGGCCTTTGGGCTCAAGGGTCCCAGGTTCGATTCCGGTCAATGGCATGTACCTTGATTGCAGGCACATCCCCAGTGGGGAGTGTGCAGGAGGCAGCTGATCGATGTTTCTCTCTCATGGATGTTTCTAACTCTATCCCTCTCCCTTCCTCTCTGTAAAAAAGTCAATTAAATATATATTTTTAAAAATAATGACAACAGTCATGGTTAAGTGGTAGGAATTACACTTATTTAGCTCTTAACAAGCAGTGTAAATATCAAGTCACTGACTGTTATTCCTTTTCTAGTCCCAGGAAACTAATGTTCAAACTAATTAGTCCATAGTTACACAAAACGACTAAGTAGCAGAACCAGGAAGCAAACCCGAGTTCATTCCCGTGGTCCTTGCGAACCATGCTCCTCATTTAAGACAGATGGCTCAGTGGTGATAAACACAGGCTATGGAATCAGATCTCCCAGTTTGAATCCTCTCTTCTGTGCCTAACAGTGTTGCCATGAATGAGGTTCTTTGACCTCTGTGCCTTAGTTTTGCCAGCTGTAAAACGGGTTCCTGTGAGGATTAAATGAGAACGTGGACCTAACATCTTGCCTGGCAAGTGCTCTGTAACTTATCCCCATCCCCGAGAGCAACGGCGTGGATTTCCTGAACGCCAGTACGCATAGCGCGCCAAGCATTGTGCTGAGGATGTGGTGACCACGAGACAGCCCCTGTGTGCTCCCATCAAGTTTATCAGCTGGATAAACACAGGCCTTTCTTTCAGAGTCACAAGAGAAGGAAGGGCCGTATCTGATGCCCGCACGTCCAGGATATTAACTTATTACCAGCACTTCTAAGAGCGGCAACCTTCCAGCAGCTCATAAGCCAGGGGTAGGTGAGCTTCTGACAACGTGGATGGGAAATCCTCTCCGGGGGCACTCGCATCACCCATTTTCCAAGTGCTGAGCTGAACATTCAGCCTAAATGCTATTTACTAGAATAGCTAAGCCAAGCCTGGATCAGTTTCTAATTTCACCGAGAGAGTGCAATTTTAAGTTGGAATCCTGCCAGAGATTCAACTGCAGTGCCTGACACAGAACCCCAGGAAGTCACTTAAATCAAAGAGCGGAAACGGCTTGGTTCAAATTTAGAAAGTGCACATTGTTTTCTATTAGAAGTGCCATTTCCTCGCCTGCTGACCTTTACGTTCGGAATTCGGCTGGAGATCAATTTAAAGAAATAGCAGCAGAAGGCCAAGACCTCTGCCCAAAGGGGACATGATTTGGAATCCAAGAGAAAGACTAGACTCTGGGAAGATTCCACTGGGGGTGGGAGACAAAACAGGGTGTGCGGAGAGAAGGGAGATATAATCATCTTAAAAAAAAGGGGGGGGGGGGCACTGGAGTAATGTGTTACGGGTAGGTTTCGGGAAATGCTTTTTCATGATGCTAATGATGTTCTAATTAGGAGAGCAGATCCTGCGCCTCAGCTGTTAGGTTCATCTTCTCTCAAAGGTGATGCCTTAGAGGGGATGTGGATGAATAGGTTTCCACTTCCCCAACGGCTTCAGACTTGGGACCCAGTCGGTCCATCGCAATATTCCAATTACAGGAGAATGACACCTTTGCCCGGATGACTCATCCATACTTCTCAATGTCTATAGTAAGGAATGAAGAGGAAATAAGAAAAGGCATTCAGGGCAACTCAGCAGCATTGTATTTCCCCTTCTTGGAAACAATGGTTTGATCAGCAATGGTTAACCGGTTGGGGAAGGGCTTCCTTAGATGCTTTCCAGCCCACCGGAAATAGAGAGCTATCCTAGATGCAAAGTTCACAGAGGGGTTGGGATGAAAGGGAGCTGACCCACAGGTTTCTCATCTGTACATCATCTGTACTGCTAAATGCAAGGGGGGCGGGGCGGGGAGGAGACCTTTTCTACAAGGTTCAGCGTTCCACTGATCCTTCCCATCCGCATGGGGCATGAACTGCTGGCTCAGCTCCCACGGTCTACCTACGTAAAAGACGCTGGTATTTCTGTGCATGGCTTCTCCCGTGTTGGAAAGCCTGCCTGCTTCCTGCCTTCGTGTTCTCTCCAGATGAAAAGAGAGCATCATCTTCAAATGGAAGACGTCCTCATGACAGTTAGCCCTGAGTGTCTGGCAGGTCTGCCACCACATAGTCCTTTGCCAAGGCGGCCTCCTGTGGTCAGGGCTGGATGTGGGGGATGGCAAATAAGCATCGATGGAGAGTTTTCCAAGGATCAGGCTGGCCGTGGGGGAGGAGGAACTTCAGGGAATGCTACCTCAGCCCACGTACCCTTTTGCAAGGGTCCCAAAGCTTTGCATCTATTGTAGAACAAATAGGTTTGGGATCAACAGAAGAGCCCCATGTCCTTCGCTTGGAGGAAAGGGTGATGAGGTTAAGAATGGAAAAGGCTGACAGGGGCACAGGGTAAGACTGTCTGGAGCCAACTAAGAGGTGCCTCAGCTAGAACCCTCCACCCCAGACAAAGACAACTCGATTCCCTTATTCCAGAAGGTCGTGAAGACTCAGGGTCCTGCCAACAAAATAAAATGTCAGTGGTGGCTTGAAGGCTGTATTGCCCCATGTCGTTGGGCTTTTGTCTCTTAGGACTGGATTGGGACTTGCCATGCTATGGGAAGGAGGGGTACGTCCTCCCCCAAGCAGATAATTCACTCTCCTTTCCCCAGTTCTAGTCCTGTGGTTTTTAAAAACAACCATTTTCCTGCTCTAGCTGGTTTGGCTTAGTGGAGAGCGTTGGCCTGCGGACTGAGGGTCCCGGGTTCGATTTTGGTCAGGTTGCAGGCTCGATCCCATGCAGGAGGTAGCCAATCAATAATTCTCTCTCATCATTGATGTTTCTCTCTCCCTTTGTCTCTGAAATCAATAAAAATACATTTTAAACATACACACACACAAATTTCTGCAGATAAAGCAAAAGGCACGAGCAATGCTCAGAGATTTTAACAGGCTCTGTCTGCAATCAGAAGACAGATTCACTGAAAAAGTCCCATGGAAAAGTCCCACCAGAAAGCCAGGATGAGAACAGGGCCTGCAGGGAATGGGCATATTGGCCTTTAGAAGGCTCCCATCACCTTCCAGAGGCAGCTGCCAGCATCTGGGCCTGCATTTAGGGCCAGACATGGAGGTGGAGCCTGGTCCACAATGACTCAGCTCTCTTGGGACAGACTGTATGCAAGATGGCTCCAGCAGGCATATTCTAAAACGCATCCTCCCTGAAACCCACAACACTAGTTTTCAAAAAGACATGCGCACCCCTATAGTCACTGCAGCATTATTTACAAAAGCCAAGATATGGAAGCAACCTCAATGTTCATTGACAGACAAATGGATAAAGATATGGTACATATATGTACAGTGGAATATTACTCAGCCATAAAAATGAAATCTTAAATTTGTGACAACCTGGATGGACCTAGAAGGTGTAAGTGAAATAAGTCAGACTAAAACAGATACCATATGATTTCATTTACATGTGGAATCTAAAAAACAAAAAAACAGAAACTTAAAAAAAACCCCACCAAAATAAATGAAAAAACCAAAAACAAAAAAACAAAAACAAAAAAAAACACCACCACAACAAAAACTCAATATTCAGAGAACAAATTGACAGTTACCAGATGGAAGGGAGGTTGTCTGAAAAAAGGGAGACTTAGCCACGACCAGTTTGGCTCAATGGACAGAGCGTCGGCTTGGGGACTGAAGGGTCCCAGGTTCGATTCCGGTCAAGGGCATGTACCTTGGTTGTGGGCATATCCCCAGTAGGGGGTGTGCAAGAGGCAGCTGATCGATGACTCTCATCTAACTCTCTATCTCTCTCCTTTCCTCTCTGTACAAAATCAATAAAAATATATTTAAAATAAATAAATAAATAAATAAATAAATAAAAAGAAAAAAGGGAGATTTAAAAGTATAAACTGTCAGTTACAAGAACAATCCCAGGAATGTGAAGTATGGCATAGGGAAGATAGTAAATGATATTGTAATGACTATATATGGTGTCAGGTGGTACCAGACTTACCAGGGTGATCATTTTGTAAGGTACACAAATGTTTAATCACTATGCTGTACACCTGAAACTAACTGTAATTGAAAAAACAAAATATTTTTCCTAATTTAAAAAAATTAAACGTAACTTTCCTATCCTAACCCAGTTATAGATTCCTTCTGGCCACTAGCTAGCTCAGCAAAAACTAGCTGCTGGCTAAGAAGCTGGGGCTCAGACCTTCTCAGGCTTCAGGGCCTCCCCTCCCCATTAGCAGGGACCCTCCACAGGGGGCTGAATTCATTTGGCTGACAAAGAAAAACCACTTCCGGAACTGCCAGTTAGATAAACCCCTCAGCACAGCTAAATGAAGTCACACACACACACACACACACACACACACACACACACACAATCCTCCATTGGTTAGAAGATCAATCTCTGCTCCCAGGACACACCCACCCTCCAGAGTCTAAGCAGCGCTGATGCTGATGAACTTAAGTGCAGTTTAATATGTACTCTGCTTCCCCTGCAAGGAAGGAAGAGATTTATAATATAAATAGGAGAGGAGGCTTTGCCTCATTTAGGCTGTTGGGAAGACTGATGGCCAACTTGGAAGACTGTGGACCGAGAAACAAAGCCAGCCCTCCACTGAGACCGAGAAGCACCTCTATCAGGTTTTAGGGGGTGGGCTTATGGATTAGCACGAGGAAAGAAAACTTTCACTCCACTCCAACCTTCTAATGACAATAATAATTAAGGAAGCAGCTAATACTTATGAAACATTTCTTGGTGTTAGGCTCTGTG